GGGGAGTGATAAAAATTTCTAAGGATTATGGGATGCCATCACTACTAAATGTCAACACTTAACTACATGAAAAAATTACAAAGATATCAGATATTCAAAATTGCCTTTTCCTTCAGATCATGAGATAGATTTATTTAGACAGCTGAAACAGGACCCTGTAAGACTTGTTTAGTCTCTTTGGCCATTCCCCAAAGATTACTAAAAAGGAGTAGCCCAACTGGATGTTTTGATAGAGCCTGCTTTGATTGTGAGAAGTATTTTTGTACAGGATTACTGTTAAATAATAATCTTTAAGATTTATGTGACTGTAAATAATACTTTGTTTTAATGTTACCCAAAGAGCTATTCAGCAGTATAAACATCTGGAGTATGATAGCTGATTGTGTTAGCCAGCTTTTTGTAGTTGTGACAAAATGCCTGAGAGAAGCAACACAGACAAGAAAGGCTTATTTGGGCTCACGGTTTCAGTCTATGGTTGGCTGATTCCACTGCTTTTGGTAAGGCAAAATATCACACAGAAGGACACTGTACAGCAAAGCTGCTCACGTGGCTGACGTGAACCAGAGGGAAAGCAAAGACCCTGTGCTGATGGCCTTCCTCTTTCTGCTTTTATCCCACCCAGGCCCCACCCTATTAGATGGTGACACCCATGTTAATGTGGGTCTTTCCCCTTAGTTCCTTGGCCCAAATGTCAGCCATCTTGGACACACCCTCAAAGACAAACTAGCACACACCCAGAAGTGCTCTTAATAACTTCCTAGGTGTCTCTTAATCCAAACATGTTGACAATCAAGATTACATTACACCAGTACAGAAGCACTTAGAATTTCTCTTCAGTCATGTGAATGCCTAGGCAGCTTTGATTTTATAAACTGATACCTATTATAACAAAGGGTATTACTAACATACAATTTAAATATTGTGTGCAAAATATTTCACTTCATTGGTTTAAAATGTCTAACATCTAAAGGTTCTCTAATATGATACGAATGGAGGAATTAAGGAGTGGAATATCTGTAAGCTCAAATAAGTGTTTTGATTTACAAGGCCCTTTTGGTTTAGTTTAGTTTTCCCACTTTTTTCTTTGCTTCCAAATTCTGAACCTCTTTTGATTAATAAGATGCTAATCCTGTTGGACTCCACAGTTCAGTGAACTTTAATACTTCGTGTGCTGTGACTTCTGACAATCCTGAGCAGCTGTAACTGACTTCACATGCTGTATTACCTCCCTCTTTCCTTTCTGCAGCTACCAAGGGTTTCCTGTTCTGCCTGCTGAGGTATTTTAAAAGGCAATGTTCAGACCTCAGTCTTAATTTAAGTCACAAAACAGTGCCTGGGGCTTAACTGAGTTGCAAATTTTTTTCTCATCCTTTATTTCTGCCATAAGGAGCTTGCTCAAAAATGTTTTCAAAAATTGCTTCTCATGTTTTAATTGTTTGAACCTGAAAAATGTTTTACTATTAAGGAAGTTGCTGTTGTTTTCATTTTCCTTTCTAGTCTGTCTCTGTCTTTCTCTGTTTCTGTCTCTCAGTGTCTGTCTGTCTCTCTCTCAGTCTGTCTCTCTCTTCTGTTTTT